AACCTACTAGCTAACACATGTCGAAGGTACTAAGTAAAAATGTTCAGGACCCCAAAAACCTAACCCTAACAAAGATTAGACCCTTATACCTAACCCTAACCTTGAGATGGTGGTATCGCCACCGGCGATAAATGCTAAAATCCTTGATTAAAATACTTTTTTTATAAATTTACATATAAAATCTGGATGCCAATTTATTTAACCAATAAGTACAATATTTTGAACCTCTGTGAGAAAAGATGTTTCATGCTTAATATAACAAATAAAACTATTTTCAAACTCTAATTATATATATATATAATTCAATATAATAGATTGATAATTTAAGTTTTTAAGTATTAAATTATCTGCTATAATGAGTATCTTAGTGTTTTTTATAAATAATTTGCTATTAAGAATGCTAATCGACCTTTGGTGATTTTAAGCTTAATCGAATTTCAAAGTTTTTTATGAGTCGTTTAACTATATAATTATTTAAAACAAATAAATCATTGATTTTTTTTTTGGCGTAAGCTGTAATTTAAGAAGACAATATGGTTATCTAAATGTCCAATATTTGAAATATATGATGTATATGTGCATGAAATGAGCTTTATTACTGAAATGATATTTTAATTTGTGTAATGAAAAGAAAATATTATATAGCTATGAATAAAATTGATATTTGTCATGTGTAGATATTAATAAAACAACCATTGTAATTATTATTAAAATACTGATGACAAGATAATGCATTCCGTCAAATATACCGCCTAGTAACTCCACAAATCCCTTAAAGAATAAACGTTATCTAAGGCATCTATATATTGAAAATCTTTTAAAATGCCTTTCTCATGATATCTGCGGATAATCATATCGCACTTTAATACTAATTTGCTCTCGTAAGGTAAATATATTGAAATTTTTTTCTTGCCCACCCAGGATTCTAAAAAACTTTGTAACTCCATCGTGCTAAAAGCCCACCTAATATGCAAATTTAATATACTTAAATTCTTTGGTGCAGCATTTTTCAATAACTCGAATATCTGATTTCCTCCTAATAATAGTGTATCATCCATTTCTTCGATCGACTGTTCGTCATTGTAAATTTCTTTAAATACATGTATTTCATCTCTTGGACTACAGATTCGTATTGCTTCCAATTGATGACATGATTTTATCAGACCATAAAGATCTTCTATACAATCTTCATCCCACCAAACTGTAATAAATTTAAGAGTCGCATGCGATAAAGATAATGCTTTGATGTATCTTTTTATCTCAGCTGAACAAGATGGTGGGCTAATTAAATCCCAGTAAATTCTTTGAAACTTTGGGGGTATATTTTCAATAAAGCTTATATAAATGCTGAACGGAGTTGTTTCATCATGGAAAATATCAAGAATCTCAAGTTTTGGTATGCTAGTGAATGTCAATTGTTCTTTGTTAATAATTTCTGTTGATATATCAATTTGGAGAATTCTTAAATTTGTAAATGTTGAAAGAACTGTTGGTGCAATACACATGCTTTGTCGAAATTTAATATGTGTTAAAGAATGTGCTTGGGTTGACAATGCATATCCCATCCTTGGACAAGAACTAATATGATCCTCTGAGGATTCCATCACCAAAGATTTTAACCCCTTTTGCAATTTGATCAAAGCGATTAAACCTTCATTGTCCCGATCACAAGGATAAATACTAATTCTGAGAAGGTTTCTTGATATTTGAGCCAATCCATAAAATAGTTCGGGAGATCTATCAGTATGACATTTCAATTCACGAAGTTTTTCTAGGCAGATCTCAGCACCCGGACAATAGGATAATGGAATTCTTGGTAGTACTAAATGTTTGAGGCAAGTTCTGGCCATAAACAACTTGTAAAATTCTTGTTCTACAAGAGTTTCTCTATAAGCTTTAGGTGGGTCAACATTGTTATCATCGCTGACCAATTCTCTTTTCATACAGTCGATTACTGTAGGTGATAGATATTGACAATATTTGATATAATTGAACAAGGGAGGTCGTGATATTTGTTGTGAAATCTCTATACCGTTTTTCATTAAAATTCGTTTTGATTCATCTGTTAGGCACGATAACAAAGTTCGCACGATAGCCGGCCAAGGAGTACGATCTATAAGGAGTTGCCTATTTTGCCACGGATTGCACCACAGTATAGGAACAACTCTTTCACACCAAAGCCTATTCACCAATAGGCATGAATACAATGATCCAGCATCATCGTGCAAATGTTGCAATATTCCATCAATACATTCTGCCGGAGGTTGCAACATGTTTTTAATACTGAATGGTACAATGATTGATGTATAGAAATAATCTGTTAAAATTATGTGAATTTTTTAAAAACAAGTTAAAGTATCAAATAAACGTAATCCAAAGCATTATTTAATTTTAATTTTACGCATCAAAAAACGAAGATTGAGTAAATAATTATTTAGTATAGAAAACTTTTGAGAACTTTTTAAATCGATTCGTTAACGAAAATTTTCGTTTTAATAAGCAATATATTTAAGAAAAAGAATCGAAAACCTACTTTAACTGTCTTAGTTTGGTTAACAATGCTCTTGATGGAATTATTATGTAGGCGAAATCATCAATTTCCAAATAAAATAGTTGAGATGCACAATGACTGCATATAAATTTTAACTTGTTCATTAAGATCGTCAATCAGTTGTACGTACGTGTGAGTACTTAAATAGATCTTTTTGATGTTCTCATCATTTGTCCCTCCCAATGCAACAACGCCCGCGATGTATTATCGCATATAGCCGCACTGTCAAACCCATTATAGCATTACTGTGCTACAAAGCAATTTAATAAGTAGCGGTAGATTGTATGATCATTATTTCCGTTACTCGTCTCTTAATCTTGTAATAGCTTGGTTAGAATATAATGGTTTTTTTTTTGTATTAATTATATTAGAATTAGAGACAAACAGACAAATATATACATTTTTTTAAAAGCTAGTGAATCTTCAATATTGCAATGCATCAGTACGTAGCAATAATGCATCTATAGCAATATCAGTAACAAATTTCAAGTGGATAATAAGATGCATTCTTGGTGTAAAGTTGTGTGTGGTTTTCTTGGGTAATAATAGTTTATAGAAATGAATTTAATTACAAATTTTGAAATTTTTGAAGTAAAATTTCATTTTTGAGTAATATATTGAAAATCGATATTATATATATTAATATCATAGTATAAGAGGTTCAGATTTAACAATAAACATAAATTTTTCTTTTTCCTTTTGTCAGGTTATAATAATTGTTAGAAACATAGTTTCGTCTTTCATCAATTAAAATCTTAATGACGGAATGGCAAAGCTGACAAGAATCAAACTAGTAAAAAGGTGGCAGAACTAGCAAAACTGGTGAACGATAATCAGGATATCTGTTTAGCTCATTCGGTTAGTTCGAAATCCTCCTCCATTTACAAGTTGCTTATTCGTCATTCCTCCCGAAGAAACAAACGACCTTGCTCATATATAAAATTTAAATCTATGCCCGGCTTTTGCGGGTCCACGGATAGATTAGTAGAGCAACCAAAATTCAGCAGATCGACCAAAATTTAGGGTCGGAATAGGCCCGGGGCTAGGCTGGCATTAAGCGATAATGCATGCCAACTATACTATAGCAAAGTTATCATCTGGGTATATCGACCGATTTGGTTTGACCCCAAAATTAGCCAATCATGATTGAGAATTATTTGTCGTTAAAATTTATTACAGAGTAAGTTTTTACAAAAACGGTTTTTAAACTTACTTTGAATCCATAATTAAGTGCATAGAATATTGCAATATCTACATATTTAATTATTAGGTTAAAAAGGCCTTACTCATTATACAACCGACAAACCGATCGTTCACTACCCGAAAATACCCGAACGCTTCAACAACTAGTGATAGTGCTTTCTTTACGGCTTAGAATAGCTGTTTTTTTAATATTTATTGCTTATTTATCTCATATAGAGGCTAAAAGGCATTTTTAATGAATGTTTCGTTTGTTATTTCACGTATTTCACGTCACTTAATGGTAAATTCGTGTAACAGTTTATCGAAAAAAGACCCCTAAAAATCAAATCAGTGTATATGTAGTACGTGGGCGAACGGCTCAGCTCGGCTCGGCTCACGGCTAACATTTACTAAGCTGAGCCGACCCTTCGGCTCTACATCCAGAGCCGAGCCGTTTATAAGTCGATCACCCTCAAGCCGAGCCATTTATAAGCCGATCACCCTCATATGATAAAGTTGAATACACGATACTAGATTATCTAGGAGCCAATACTTTATTAGTAGACCCATAGCCGAGCCGATGATCGGCTTCAAAGGTCTTAGCCAAGCCATTACTCGTAACTCAAATGCATTTCGTGTAACGATGAATGGTTTAATATTCAAGTTTTATTTTGCTTTAAAAACTAAAAAATTCATAATTATACATCAAAATCGCTTCTAATAATAGTTGGTAAAACACTTGATTCTATCTTATCTGCTTTGTAAAAAAACTTTAATTAGATAGTTATTAAAGAAAATCATTTAACAAAGCTAAAACTTAATACGTATATACTTTAATCTATATTAAGATATAAAAATATTATGTATATATTTTTATTATTATACTCTTTTCATGTTAAATTTTGTTTTATAATCTCATATAATTTGTTATTTATATATATAACCGATACTCTCTAATTGCATACCATCTGTCAAAGACATTTTATACAATAGACAGTATATACAATAGTAAACCATGTAACATATTAGTTAACCAATTAAAATTATTTAAATTTTATTAATAATTTAATTAATAATTTATCTTTAATTGTGAATAACTTTGATTCACTGGTTCGTTTTGAACGTTTTAACTACCAAAATAATTAGCTCAATAAGATAATTCTAATAAACCTAAAATCGTTAAAATCCAAGATCTTTGATTATTTGCATTATTTTATTTAAAAATTTAAATATATAGTATTTATTATACTGTATATAAAATAACAAATCGTTAATTAGAATCATCTCATTGAGACGAACATTTTGATAGTAGAATCATCAAAAACGGACTCATAGATCAAAAGTTATTGGCTAATTTCACAAATCAGCCCATATGTATTACTAGTAGTGAGATGAAGTAATTTTGTTTATTTTATTAATTAAAATAATAAAAAATTAAAGATTTATAATTAATAATTATATTAGAAAATTAAAATAATATGCAATTAAACAGTATACAGTATGTATTTTTTTCTAAACAATCCTACTTAATTTTATTTGAAGACAAATGGTTTTTACTATAAGTAAATCCAATTGTATTATTTTAACTGAAAATTAAACTCACTTCCAACATTCTACATATAGTTAAGGTGAACCAAAACCAAAGTATTATGTTTAGATGTGATCTGCCTAGCAGCAGTTGGCTTTTTCTGAAGATTTCTTACTTAAAACTTATTTCTCTCAGATTCTTTAGCTGGCTGTTGCACATGCTGTCAAGATTTCTGCTTTACAATAAAATATCACCAAACTGATGATACTTTCTTATAAGAAAAAAAAAAAAGTTGGGAAAATAAATAATAAAAAAGGGTTAAAATCAAAACAAATATATCATAGAAAATGAAAACTAATATTAAAGAATTAAAATCTATACTAAAAACCTAAAAGAAACTATTCTAAAAAGAAGAAAACCTGCTAACCAGGTGAAAATTTCTAACTATATAGCATAATGGTCTGCTATTAAGTACAAAAATCTTGATCAACACAAAAAAAAAATAAAATCACATATATGTATACTTTAGCTCATATATAGAGTTTAAAAATTATTGTTTGAAGTGAAGTGGTAGACTTATACTTCTATGTGCTTTGATGATTAAAATTATAGTTTTGATGAATCTATAATAAAAAAATTAAAAAAGTAATTTTGGCATTTTCTGTCTGTAATGCCATGTGTTTATATTTGTATAGTAAAAAATTATACATATTTATATATTTATATAAGATAACAATAATAAGCTTTAAACTTAAATCAGTTTTTGGTTTCTAGTATATATAATTTCAGAATTATTGTATATCTCTTAATCTAGTGTTTTTGTTAACTCTTCTAAATTAAATTCATATTATATTCAAAGCATTAAACAAAAGGCTCTATGATTCTTTGCTATTATTGAATTTTAGATGATTTTTATGAATTATTTTTAAGGTATATTCTCTTCACTATATAAGATTAAACAGTGAGTTTAAATAGTCATTATTAGAAGTTACTTCCTAAATCTATTCTAATGAACTATCATTTTTGACAGATTATACTTAGATCAATCAATTAGTTTTTTTTTAAATTCATCTCACACATAATTTTATAACATATTTTTTATTTGTTATACACATAATCTTTCTCAATATAAAAGTAGTAAACAATGCTGTTCTTTTGATAGAAATAAACCAAATTTCTTATTTTTTGTTAAAAATTATGAAAAAAAGAAGTAACAAGAAAATATTATAGTTTTACAAGTTTCACCAAAGAGTATTGTTTTAATGATTCTTTATAGCTTTTCATCTTTAAACAAACTTTAGTTTTCTTTTCTACTTGCTGTTTTCAAAAACTCTTTCAGTTTGGATGCTAAATGCAAAAAAGAGTCCACCTTAAAGGCAAAAAAAAAAAGGCTTGACTCTTTTGCAAACTATTCATAATATCTATTTCTTAGTATATTACATTTTAGACTTCATTAACAAAAGTTTATATTAAGAAAACTTAAGTTGTTATTGACTTCTAGTTTTGAATTTTTAACTTGCTTTTGGTATCTAGTTGGTACAAATGATTGTCAGAAAAAGTTGTAAATAGTATATATTTAGATAGTATATATTTGAATAATATTAATTATATTTATATTTTTTTTATAGTTCAGCAGATTTGTTTCTGTTTATTTAAAATTTAAATTATTCAAAACATTGTAT